CATATTTTAACATGTAATAAATAATGAGCAATCTTTAATAACAATTTTACCTTAGAAAAATATACGCCCCTGAGCATAAGACAATGAGGGCTAAACATATACAGAATTATTATCATTAAACATCTATAATCATCACAATCATAAGATTACATAGAACAATTAACAACAAAGTACTTAAAGAATAATTACCTGCTAATTAATACCGGTTAAACCTTTTAATTTTTCACTATTTTGCCACACTGCCCGCCGATCGTCTTACTACCCATCTCCACGCTGTTCTCACTTCAACTGTCTAGGCTTCCTTTCAGAATTCCCCACCTAAGCGTTTGTTTTTTGTGCTTCCTTCTACCATTTGTCAATATTACGTTTTCATTATTGTGTAACACCCATGTAACAGGTGACGTCGAAGTTGATACGATAAGTATGGTTTTGCACAGGTTATTTTTTGTTTTTTTCCGTATCGTGGTCCAAAACAGCTTCTATGTTAGAGGAGAAAATTCTGGTTGAGATTGCTGAAAATCCTCTAATGGCGTAAGAAAGCTGTCGGTCCAAGTTCATGCGACAAAGTGACCGTTCATGAGACCCTCCAAGAACAACAGCAATAGTCAATTTTGCAAATTGGTTTTTGCAACGATTTATATTACAAAATCCAAATTTTACTAGTATTGTTTTGTTCACGAATAAATCCGGTTTCACCCGAGACGGAGTAATAAATTGCCATAATTTACATATCAGGCATGAAGAAAATCCCCATGCAACAGCACAAAGCACCAACAAAGTTTCATGGTTAACATATGGTCGGGGATTATTGGGAATCACCGCTTTTTTAAAGACAGATTAAATAGTGCCATGTATTTGTAATTCTTGCAACAAAGCTTAAGCGGATTATTAGAAAATATGCCCTTAGAAATTAGAAATCAGATGTGGTTTATGCATGACGGTGCACCGGCCCATTTTAGCTATTTAGTACGTCAGCAAATATTTTTGGTTATCAATGGATAGGTCGAGGTGGGCCTATTTCATGGCCACCGAGGTCGCCCGACATGACTCCACTGGATTTGTTTTTACGAGAAAATTTAAAGAGGCTTTTGTATTCGGCGCCAGTTCACATAAAGGAAGACCTGACAGAAAGAATAACACAACATTGCAACGAAATTCAAGACAGTCCTGGAAAATTGTTTCAAGTACAACCGTCCAATCCGTCGGATTTCGAAAATCTGTAAAATAAACAAGAGGAAGCAAAACTTTCGAATTTCTAACATCTTTGCGTTAGAGTCGAAAAGGTAAATCGCTGGGTACCCCTTTGGGGTTCTGTATCTCCGTTAAAGGGCACTTTAGCATGTTTTTTTTATGGCAAACTAGGGTTATTTTGAGAGTAGAGTATGCCATATACCTACTTACCAGACACCCTGTATAATTGTAATTTTAGTCATATAGTTTTATAAAATGTCCCTTATTTAATATTTTAAGTCTGTATACACGACGTGCCCCAAAAGAGAACAAAAGTTCGAAATAGTCCTTAGGTTATCATATAATCATCATATTAAGCACATCTTAAGGCAGGTTCTTGCAACTAGTGTTGTAACAGGACAAACACCGCACTTGAGGTCGAAAAAAACATGAAATATTAATGAGGGTGACCGAAGAAATTCCGAAACACTTTCACAATGCATATAGGTCAAACGCATATTTTAAGTTCCTGAGTGATACGATCATTTCTTGGTCTAATCTAAAATCACAACAGTTGATAAGATGAGGAATTAAAAGTCAAAATTGATGTACCCACAAGTTCAGTTATTGTATAAAAATCTAGTCGCAATATTAAAAAAACAGTGACTTCAAAAGATCAAATTAATTTTAATAAAATAATTTCTGTTATCAGTAAAATGTAAAACTAAGAGATATACGAATTGGCTACCTTTATGACATTTCTTTAATGTACGTTACTGAATATTTTTTTCCTCTGTTGTGAAAAAGTGACATATTTATTTTAAGACAGACAATCATAAACACTCCCCTTTAGCTTCGCTCATGATGTATCAAAAATTTTTTTCTGCTATCAATATATTGCAAACAATGAACTTGATAATCCTATCAAATTTTATGTTGAATACGCCTTTCCAAAGCTATCAAAGAATATGTAGTTTGTTAGTTATATAGGCGAGCGGTTTACCCCTAAAAAAAAGGCATGAACCGACTAAATTTTTAAAACAAAAATCTACAGCATGAAACTTTTTTATTTTATAAAGTGTATTTTTCTGATAATTTACATATTTTTGTTATATTTTTCGGCGTGGTCAGTCAATTGTTATAAACAAAAAAGTTGCAAAAAATACACGCCGAATGGCTTTGAAAGTTTTATACTGTAAAATGAACCAAAATAAACACTTTTTGTTCTTTGACAAAAATTTCAAAAATGCTTCGTTTCCGAGATATTTACAATTTAATGTGAAAAAATTGACGAAATCGACAACTTTCGGAATTTTTTACTCAAAAACTAATCAACAAACAACAAATTTTAATTCTAAAAAAGCATAATAATCGGGAGAATTTCTACTTTAAGATATATTTTTTTGGTATGGGTCAATCATTTTATTGAAGGTCTAAAGCGAGTAAAAAAAAGTCTTTTAAAGAAAATTATGATAACACTTTAAATTAAAACACTTAAAATTTAAATTTTCTTTTTACAATATCTTGGATTAGATTATATGTACAATAAACATTATTATGATTTTTTTTAATCGATATATGTTGATAGTATAAATGTTCAAAAGATCATTTTGATTATTTTTGTAATTATAGGATTTCATTTGAACCTCAAAAAATCGGATACTTACTGGTGTTATAGAACAGCAAAAATATGCTTTGTGATTCTGATTTCTATATAGGCATATTGAAACTAACTAATGCAATATAATAAATTAACAAAACTGAAGAATAAGTTAAACGTTAATTCGTTTATGGTGGAATTATAATTGTTTAATATAGATAGCTTCAATTATTGTACGAACTTGTCTAAAACTTGTCAAATCCATAACCAATCGGTTCGTGCATGCGTATCGTACATGGGTATGGATATCGAGCAATGCCTTTCTGCTATTATCAGGCGCAATAAGAGGTTATGATTAAGAACAAAAAAGTAAGGCGCTAATTTCGAAAAACTTTTATTTTATACTTGACGAACAGAAGAAGAACTAGAGTTTAATAAAAAAAAATTTAGTATAATCAGATAGTACCTATAATTGTTTAAAATATTGTATCATTAATAGTAATATAATTCTAATCATAAATAATAATTTTTGCATTAAAAAAAGCATGAAAATAATTGCAAAAATTATATTTAATTATTATAAATGTAGGAAAAATTATGGTTATTTCCACATTAGCCGATTGAATCATTAAATGTTATTGTTATATATCGATTAAAAATATCCTAATAACATTATGTTTACTGTAAATATAATCTAGTCCAAAATATTGTAAAAAGAAAATTTGAATTTGAAGTGTTTCGACGTAGCGCCACTGACGCCGCCATTTTGATGCGTATGGTATCATGATTTTCTTTAAGACTGTTTTTTTTACTCGCTTTAGACCTTCAATAAAATAATTGACCTATCCCAAAAAAATATATCTTAAAGTAGAAGATCTGTCGATTATTATGCTTTTTTTAGAATTAAACTCTGTTCAGTAGTTTTTGAGAAAAAAATTCCGAAAGTTTGTCGATTTCGTCACTTTTTTCACATTAAATTGTAAATATCTCGAAATACGCCTAAAAATATAAAAAAATATGTAAATTATCAGAAAAATACACTTTATAAAATAAAAAAAGTTTCATGCTGTAGGTTTTTGTTTTAAAAATTTAGTCGGTTATCTTTATTTAGAAGCATCTTTTTAGGGGTGAACCGCTCGCCTAATATATTTGACTGATTTCCCTGTATCTCGGAACATACCTAAACTTTAACTTTAAATTAATTTATTTCAACAGAAAATAAGTCTTTTTATTTATAAAAACAACATACTCTTTATGAGGACATATCCGAACTTATCCGTATTTTGGTAAAAATTTAAAGAACGATATTAATAAATCATTGTGGAGACAAGTAAACAAGCCTTGTAGTATTTTAAAGTCGCATTTTATAATTTTCTCGAAGACCATAAGTCCTGTCAAAAAATAGTACCATTTGTATTTAATTTACTGTCCTTTCAGAAAATTTTACAATTTAACACCTTGTAATATATCTTAAAATTTGATAAAAGATGGATCTGAATATTTACTACAGAAAAATAAATTCATTTTACGATATGAATAAAATTTGTTTAAGAAACGAAACAAAAGTAGAATGAATTTTATTTTTCTCGAAGTCTATTTCTACTCGTATGCACTTATTACTATTTATGTTTGGATTTTTTTTCGTCTTCAGTTATTAAGTATTTTTCAAAGCAAATTAAAATAGTAAATAATTATTTGTTTATACATTAGTAGATGTACCCAGCATTGCTCATAGACAAAATTAAATAGTTCACGCAGACAAATTGCCAAATTAATATCCAGAACTTTCTCTTTGCAGCCAAAAATTTCGCGAAAATCTCCACTAAACTAGGCCTGTTAAATTAAACATAACTTCAGAAAAATCCTCGATTTCCGTGTCCCATAAATAAATAACCATCACACAACAAATATGTACATCTCTCTGCCCCCATATATACCACTGCCAGAAGAAGCAGGATAGAATAACACCGACCTGCCCGGTAAATCTAAGAACAGGAATATCAAAACTGACATCGAATAAATGTATCTACTTATGTAAATCCGAAATCAAACTATATAAGCATCTTTCCGAGGAAGAGTCCTCAGACAACGTTGGGTATAGCACACTCGTTGTTCTCTACCACCGTGGTATTTTTGTAAAATCCCCAAAAATACAGTGCAGTGCTTCAAGATGCTCGCGGTCGCCTTAATATCTTCAATCACTTCAGTTCTGTTAATCTTCACATCGGCGATGCTGGCTCTGGTCTGTTACGAGATCTACAAAAAGAACAAGGATACCAAGGCGTTATGCGTCGAAGATGGCCTCAAGGAACCACCAACACCGAGGAAGATGCCCATCATCGGCCACCTTCATCTGCTTGGAGGATACGAGGTGCCGTACCAAGCGTTCAGTTTCCTGGGGAAGAAATACGGAAACGTTGTCAAACTCCAGCTGGGACAAGTCAAATGCGTTGTGGTCAACGACCAGAAGAATATCCGGGAAGCTTTGGTCACCAAAGGGCACCACTTCGATTCCAGACCAAATTTTCAGCGGTACAAGGAACTCTTTTCAGGAAATAAAGAAAACTGTAAGTAAAAAATTACCTAAATAATAAATAAATAATAAATAATAAAATTTTGTAAAATAAAAGAAATATTAAGAAGCTTTGCTGTGATGTATTAGTAATATAAAAGCTAATAATACTATTTTTTTAGCTTTGGCGTTTTGCGACTGGTCAGAAACCCAAAAAACACGCAGGGACTTGCTGAAAGCATACACCTTCCCCAGAGCCTTCAGCAACAAATTTGCCAGTTTGGAAACCCTCATCTCCTCGAGCACTAGGACCTTGATATCCCAGATAATCCCTGAAAAAACTGTGGAATTGAAACCACTCATACTACGCAGCTGTGCCAACATCTTCCTAAATCATTTCTGCTCCAAGAACTTCGAAATCGACGACGAGAGGTTCGTGAGGATGGTCGAGGATTTCGACGAGATCTTCTACGAGGTCAACCAAGGTTACGCCGCTGACTTCCTGCCCTTCCTGATGCCCTTTCTGAAGAAGAACCTGGGCAGGATGAATGCGCTGACGCATAGAATCAGGAGTTTCGTCGAAGACAAAGTCGTGGAGAACCGTTACGAGGAGTTTGACCTCGAGACTGATCCTGGTGACTACATTGAAAGCTTCATCAAGTACGTGAAGTCTGGAGACGGTCCTGAATTGCCCTGGGATACCGCACTTTTTGCTTTGGAGGACATTATAGGCGGCCATTCAGCTGTTGGAAACTTTTTGATGAAGCTTTTTGGGTTCCTTGTGGAGCTTCCCGATGTTCAAAGAAAAATCCAAGAAGAGATAGACGCTGTTGTTGGTACAGCCCGAGATGTGACCATTGCAGACAGAGGATCAATGCCATATGTTGAGGGCGTAATTTTTGAAGCCATCAGGTTAATAGCGTCACCTATCGTTCCAAGGGTAGCTAACCAGGACAGTTCTATTGATGGTAAGCAGGCTTACATCAATGTCAATGCAGTCTTAAACACTTTTTTCTCTTCCAGGGTACAAGATAGAGCAAGGAACAGTACTGTTCCTCAACAACTACGACCTCAGCATGTCCGATAGGTTGTGGGACCGTCCCGAGGAGTTTCTTCCAGAGCGCTTCCTTAAAGACAACAGACTGATCAAACCCGACCACTTCCTACCTTTTGGGGGTGGTAGAAGGAGCTGCATGGGGTACAAGATGGTACAGTTGGTGTCCTTCGGTATTTTGGGCGGATTTTTACAAAAGTACACCATCCTGCCGGCTGAGAACGAATCGTATAAAGTCCCGATTGGTTCTTTGGCGCTGGCAAAAGATACGTTTAAGTTCCGATTCGTCAGGAGATGAGCCTAGAGAAATTTGTTATTTTTATTTATTTAATTTATTCCGATTGCAGTTAGAGCTAGAGCTGAGTTAAAATTTCACGGGAAAGTTCTCCATGAAAAACTTAAATCGCAGACTATACAGTGGTTTCACTCACCAAGTGGATATCATCGGAAGTCAAGTAAAATTCTAGTCTGTAATAAATTAATTCATCGATTTACTATACTAAATTTTTCATGGAAAACTTTTTTGTGTTGAATCTATATAGAAATGCAGCAATTAATCGTAATATTGAATACTCAATTTTTAAGAAGCTCTAGAGGTAACGTGATCGTATTCCTGACTGTATACCTTTGTAAGTTTGTTGATGACATATATATTTATATTTGTAATTTTATGGATATTCGATACTGACCTTTTGAAGATATTTTTATTATATTTTTATAACTGCCGAATCTCAAGAATATTTTTTAATAAAAAAGGACCGAAGGACGTTATCGATTGTTTTTATTTTGCCAAATCGTCGAAGTAACAACAAATTAAAAATCACATAAAATAAAACATTAAATATTTTCAGTGTTTGTGTAAAAATAACTTTATTATATTTCATTAAATATTCCTTTCAGTGTAAGTAGGACTATATAAATTTAAAGAAAAACTTGTTTTGGAAAAATGTTAAAAGAAAAGCGTAGATAAATGTATTTGTTTTATTTTTTTAGCATCCCAGACATAATTATATTTCATTACACAGGGTGTTGCGGAACAATGTGAAAATAAATTTAATACGTGATACAGCAAAAAATAATACGATTTTTATCTATGGGCTTATCGACTTTTGTTTTTAAGATATAAAGCATCAGAGATGATTGTATGAAATCAAGTTTTAGCCATATCTTTTCCTAAAAACAATGTATAGCATTGAAATTTGGTACAGGTAAGTTTTTAAGCATACTTGAGGCTAGGACGCTAGTCACTATCTCTACCAGTGACATTTTATGACATAATTTTTTATGATAGGATTTTTGTAGTGTATGTCTTGTATATAAAAAAAAGTTCAGTCTACTCAAAAAAGTTACACTTGTTAATATTGCTGAAGACGCACCGTTGTTGAGCAAAACTCAATACATTGTCCCAAAGTAAACCGGATTTTATTCTTAATATACAGAGTGTCCGTCAACGACTGGGCTTTTTTAGATAAAAATAAGCTTTAGATTTACCTTGAGACAAATGCAGGGTGTCCCACGATGACGAGACATTAGACATATTTCAGAGACTACTTCGATTTTAATTTTGAAAATTTCCTATTCTTAAAGTTAACCGTTTTCGATATACAGTGTGTTTCACTTAAAGTCGGAACACCTCTATATTTAGGAAGGCGTTGGCCAATTTCCAAAATTCTTCTTTTTCTATGTGGTAGTACTCAAAAAGGCCTACTTTTTGATATTATATTTTTTGATATGTGATCTTTTCTACGACCTACTATCATTAAGAAAAGACCCTAAAAAATTAAAAACATAGGCATATTTTTAAGGTATTTTTTCCATGCTGTTTCATTGATTTCACTCATACAGGGTGCTCACAATAAGACACCCAAATTATATATTTTTTTTATTGTACCAGAAATGACACGCAACAAAATAAAATTTAAATATTACTGTTTTCTATTAGTCCACTGATCAATTCGTCTCCTCTTATTTCTAATAACTCTCATCAACTGATGCGGTGTTATTTGTCGTCATGCTTGTCTAATTCTAATACATAAATCTTCTGGGGCCTTGTTTTATACACTTTATTTTTCAAAGTTCCCCATAAAAGGAAATCAAGAGGTGTCAAGTCTGAAGTCCTTGACGGCCACTCAACTAACGGACTGTTGCGACCTATCCACTTTCTCGGTAAATTCTCATTCAACCTATGACTTACTACTACCGCATGATGAATCGATGCTCCAAATAGTTGAAAGTAGAGGTTCTGTCTTACATGGAGAGGAAGTGCATGTGTACTGAATCCCAGAAATCATTATTTAAGAAATTCAAAAAAATCTCTGCGTTTAGATTAACGTTAAAAAAGAAGGGGCCGATTATTTGATCACATAAAATCCCACAAAACACATTTTTTTTTAATTAAGATTTATATCTACATCAGTTGAGGAGAGTTATTAGAAATAAGAGGAGACGAATTGAACAGTGCATACAAAATGGTGGTGGGCTAATAGAAAACAGCAATATTTATATATTATTTTGTTGTGAAATTCATTTCTAGTACAACAAAAAATATATATAATTTGGCTATATTGTAAACATCCTGTATGAGTGAAATCAATGAAACTGCATGGATATACCTACGGTTAATAAAATGATGAAAAAATACCTTGAAAATATTATCCACTGTTAATACAAGACTGCATTGAGTAAAATTTTTCGAAGTTTGTACCTATTTTCTGAACACCCTGTAAAAGCTATAATAATGAAAATTTGTATTTAGGGTTTTGAGGTACGATCAAATCGAAAATGCTATCTATTTCATTTTAAAAAAAATGCCTAATATATTTTTAATTTTTGAGGGTCTTTTCTTAATTATAGTAGGCCATAGAAAAGATCACATGTCAAAAAATATAATATCAAAAAGTAGACCTTTCTGAGTACTATCACATAAAAAAAGAGTTTTGGAAATCGTCCAACGCCATCCTAAATACGTAGGTGTTCCAACTTTAAGTGAAATGTATTTTCAATTTTTTTAAAAAAAAAATTAAATTAGCATTGCTTAATTCAAAAAGATGTGTATTTTACAATAATAAAGTTAGAGCGATAAAATTTATAGAGGACATAACTAAAACTCTAAGCTTCTCTGCCATAATTTCAAAATAACTTAATTTTATACAGGGTGATAGGAATTTAATGCCGAATTTAGTCAACTTTAAACCATCTTAACTTATTTTTTTTAATGGAACAATCTGTGTATTTTTGCGCAACCTGATGAACAATTTTGTTCTCTTTCGAATGGGATAATGGTTCCCTATACCTATCTCTTGATTTTTAAGGTATTTACTGTTTTTCTTGCAATCATCGGATATCTCATAATTTCTTGCAAGGATTGCTGTGAAATTTTTAGTGGAACTTCAAAACAAGCACCTAATCCACCAGTTTATTGTTAGTCCATTGAATTGTTACATTTTTTTGGGCTTAGCGTGCAAAAGTCAGAGCACTCAATTTTATTTTTTGGATGTCAAGAGGGGGTTAGTGTAAAGTTAAATCCATGTTTGTGGGGTCGCAACCCTTGAGCGTCGGCCGCCATCTTGTAAAAAGGGCTGCGAATGGTTTTTATACTACTACTTACTATATCGGCCAAACTATTCCTCGCAGAGAAAATTTGTAAAAACATTTCTTGTTGCAAATTAAATTCTCTACAAATTTAGTTCCGTAACTTTTAGTCGTAGAACCAAAAATAGCAAAGTTATTAACAAAAACATATAATTTGGTCGTTATAACTTTTTTCTGGTCATTTTACAAAAAATTACGTCAGAGCATTTTGATAGAGGGGTTTCAAGGAATAATTTCCATTACAAACTTTTTTCAAATTTTATTTATTAATTAGGGTTTTACAGTGATGCGAAACTTCCACTATTCTTCAGTACTAGTAAGTATACATACATTAATATGAATGATTAGGCATAGTTTTCTCTCATTTTTCCATTATTTTTATAAGAAACATTTTATTGATTTATATTGTAATGTTGTTAATTAGTTATTGACTCTTTTCCCCACCCCCTACGGGGTAGAGTCTGGTGGCGCGTTTTTTTTACGTCGTATCCCTAGTATGTATTTCCCAATCTACTGTGTCCTCAGTCTCTTTGATGTGCCAGGCTGCGACTCAGGATCTGGTGGAGCTTCCGATATTGAATTGTCGAGGAAGGATGGAGAATGAAGTGGCGTCATTATTGGCAGTTCATCTTCAAAATCATTTTCCTCGATCAATTTTGATATCTCCATTATGTTGCTGCATGTCTCCCCAGAACAATTCAGGCATACTGCAGAACATTTGAGGCCTGCCTTCCGACATCCACACATTGCTCCACAGTTTCCTTTGCATCGGCAGAATATCAACTTTAGAAGCTCAGGGGGTGCTGGAGGTTTTGAACTTTGAATAGGCATCAATATTTGTCCATACTTTTTCCAGCCCCAGTCTTGAGGGTCGTTGTAATTCCCGAGCCACGACTGGACCTGACAATAGACTCGGAGGTTGTGCAAGCGGGCTGTGTCTTGTGTTGGAGGAAGTGAAGACAAATTAAATGTATTCTTTGTCACTGACTTGGCGAATCGTTTATATCTAAGACTGTCCAGAGAATCATCATCTTTATTGCCACCATATAAAGAGATGAAAAAACGTTCACCAACGGCAGTGAGCAAAGTTGGGTCGACTCTCTCATTGAGGAATAACGCTGTTCCACTAGCTAACTCAGGACGTGTCTCCAGTGTTGCGAGAAATTTCATTTTACCGATGTTGTAAGCTGCTGAAGTTGTGTCACATCCTGAGAAGGCATGGAGAAACAACAGATTATCCGCAATGACTTCTCCGTACATAAAACTTGACGGACATTATAATTGTTCGGCTGTACGTCCTTTCGATGGTTTAAAAAAATATATATTTGAATGTGTTCTTCCAAATGCCGCGAGCAAGACAAGAATGTCGATATCTTCGGCGACAATAGTGACTGAGTCGAACGATTGGGATGCAGCAAGAGCGGAGCGAACGATGAGGGTATCTGCATCTGATTCTGCTTGGTCGACACTGAAACCCACCTCTTGTCCACAAAATTCAAAATAGTGTCCACAAAACTCAAAATACTTTTCACAATTAAATACGTCACGCACGCACGTGGTAGCACAACTGGAAGAAAACTTTGAAGGACGCCTCCTATGCCTAATCATTCATATTAATGTATACTTACTAGTACTGGAGAATAGTGTAAGTTTCGCATCGCTGTAAAATCCTAATAAATAAATAAAATTTGAAAAAAGTTTGTAATGGAAATTATTCCTTGAAAACCCCTCTATCAAAATGCTCTGATGTAATTTTTTTGTAAAATGACCAGAAAAAAAGTTATAACGACCAAAACAAAATTTCTTCCCAAATTTTTATATATTTTCGTTAATAACTTTGTTATTTTTGGTTCTACGACTAAAAGTTACGGGACCAAATTTGTAGAGAATTTAATTTGCAACAAGAAATGTGTTTACAAATTTTCTGTGCGAGGAATAGTTTGCCCGATATAGTAAGTAGTAGTATAAAAACCATTCGCAGCCCTTTTTACAAGATGGCGGCCGACGCTCAAGGGTTGCGACCCCACAAACATGGATTTAACTTTACACTAACCCCCTCTTGACATCCAAAAAATAAAATTGCGTGCTCTGACTTTTGCAACCTCAAATGTAACTTTTCAATGGACTATGTTGTCAATTTAACACATACAGTAAATGTTTATTTGAGTATTATTTATTGTTAAAAAATGGAAAATGGAAAACATTTATTCAAATGCTGACATTCTAAATTTATTATTTATTCATGGAGGGTATCACAACATAATGTACCAAATTAATAAAGTTTTAAAGGTCGGTTATTTTCTGAACAAACCCCGTACTGTTTTTAATTTCACTACATTTCTTTCAGTGTTAATTTTGACATGTTGATGAAATGTTCCTATTACCAATTTGGCCTCATGACGCTATCTAAGCGAAAATATATTACGATTTATTTAAGAAAATTCATTATGCACGTAAACAAAGGAGCTCTGACCTCAACGAACACAGTTTGAAAAACACTACGGTGATATTATTCGGATTCTGAAAGATCTGACGTCGGTCAGTGAAAGCTATTTCAGGAAACTCATCCAAAACAGACGATTCAGCGATTAAATCACATTGTTTTTCTTAAAGCTAGTATATTTAGTTCCAATAAGATAAGCTACAATTAATGTTTGTGTCTGAAAATACCCTTACTGCAGTCAGTGTGGTAGAAGGGGTGGTCTATTATTATTAATGTCTAGGTACCATACAAGTGGGACGAAATATGTAGAAACGCACATTTCAACAACATAACTTTTATTTACAACAAAATAAATTAAAAGTTCTATGAGAACTACTCGGTAACATACAAGTAGAAGTACATTGGTAAAACTTACAGATCACATTGTCGCTTATTGTACTAAACTTAAGAACTAAATGCTACATTTAACTATCTACCCTGACTGTAAAGACCTCCTGGACCTCCCTGTTCCTTCCCTCCGATTCCATGTCGAATGCCTTGTTGTCAAAACCGTCCACATCTCCTTTGTTTTTCCTGAAATACTGCTCTATTTCCTGCAGTGACTTGTTCTTAGTTTCAGGAAGCACAAACTTGCTGAACACTATCGATATTATCGAAGCCGCCACGAAGACAAGCAGCGTACCGCTGAAATTCAAGTAGTCCAGCATGTCATTGTAAATTTTGACGCAGATGAAGATGAAGGTCTGCGCTATACAGATGACAACCCCACTCATGATGGGTCTCACCTCCAGAGGGAACATTTCCCCCACTAGGATCCACGGTATGGGCAACATGCCGATCATACTGAACACCACGTTGAAGATAATACCGACGAGAGGGAGGTAACTCAAGATTTTTTCTTCCTCGGGGTTCAACTCGTAATACTTGACGTATATCGCTACCGTCAGCATGGTAAGCGCCATCCCCAAGCTGGAGAAAGTGCACAGCACCTTCCTGCCGAACTTGTTTATTAAGAAAGCCGCCACGATGGACATGGTGAATCTGATGATGCCCACTATGATGGACGAAATGTAGTCGTCGATGTTCAAGTCGGTTTCTTCGAAGAAACTAACAGCGTAGAAGAGGAGGGTGTATATTCCTGAGAACTCCTGCAGCAAGAACAATATTACAAGGATGAAGAACGGCTTGACAGTCTGAGGACTGAGATATGCTTCCTTCCAGGCCGTACCGTCGCTTTTATTTTGTTTAAGGTTCTCGTGGTAGCTATCGATTTCCTGCTGGGCTATGACGTTGTTTCTCCTGAACCAAAGGTACACTTCAAAACCTTCCGCTGTTCTGTTGTTTTTCAGGAGATACCCAGGACTCTCCGGTAAGAAATGGATGGTCACCATGGAGAATATACCGAAGGTTACGCTGATTAGGGCTACCGTGGACCACCGGATGTAGTAGCCAAGGGTGTAGGTCAGCAAGATGCCGAAGGAAGCGCAAATCGGACCCAGGGCTTGCAGGAAACCTCTGGATTCCGGGGTGGATATCTCGCTGACGTACGTGTAGCAAGCAGTTGACATTCCTGCGAAATATAAATGTTTTGAATGAGTTTGTTATACAGTGTGTATCAGCCAAATTGAAATAATAATAAATAAATAGGGGCGTGTTCGAAAAAACGCTCGGACACAAAAACTTTTTATACAGGGTGTGTCATGTAACGGTGGTCAATACCAACTTTCTTATTTTAAATGCAACACCCAGTATATTATTATATTTTTGGATTGTTCAGAAAATTCCTATACCTATCTTCAACTGTTTCGGAAATATTAAGTGTTTTCAGATTTATTGCAAAAATTAACATTAAAATAAGAAAATTATTTGATTACAGAATTTCGTTACAACACACTCAAACAGTAATAAGTAATACTGTTCATTTATTGATAATGTAAAAAGCAAAAAAAAAAACATTAATGTCAATGTAGGAGATATGCAAAATGCTCATCGCGAAAAAGTCTTGGCAACATCCTAATCTTAAATAGAAATTTCTTCTAACATTACTCAACATCTCAGGCGTGACCGATCTAATCGCAAGCGTTATTCGTCTTCTTAAGTCAGCGAAGTCGAGGGGTTTAGTTTTGTATACAATACTTTTGACATATCCCCATAAAAAGAAGTCTAATGGTCTCAGATCAGGGGATCGTGCTGGCCATTCCATCGATCCTCGCTTACCTATCCACCGATTTGGAAGTATTTGGTTGGGGTACTGCCGGACACTGATTTGGTAATGGGGCGGTGCTTCATCTGGCTGAAACCATGTCATATTCGCTGGAACTTGTGGGATTGCTGGATCAGGATATAAGTTTGTCCAAATTGGCACAACATTATTTTGGAGTGCTAAATAATTATCGCCATTCACATTGCCATAAATAAAAAAGGGACCTGTGGTATGATCTCCAAAAAGTCCTGCTTAAACATTAAACCTTTTCAGGGTATTGCGTATGTTTTTCTGTAATCCAAAATTTGCATTAGAGCAATAACGGCAATTTTGACGATTAGCATGGCCCTAAAGTATAAAGGTGCACTCATCAGAAAACAAAACATGGTCTAATAGGATCACATTTTTATCTAACATTGCCAAAAATACATTCTCCTCAAAAATCGTCCTCTATGAGCTCATGAGTTGGTTTCATTTTATAGGAATGCATTTTATTTTCTTTTAATATCCGAATAATCGATGAAGGGCAGCCCCATGGAACATTGGGGCTGCTTTTCGACTAGAACTATGTGGGTTTTCTTCAAACTTTTCTATTTTACTAATTGTCCTTGGGATATAGGCGGCAAATTTGGAAATCTTTCATGAAATAAGCGAGCAACTTCCATTTGTGTCCGTGTGTTTTCTCCATAACCACTCATCTGTAGAATTGTTATTTTGTGCATTTCTGTTAAATGAGCCATTTTTCTGATATGCAGTTAACGAAATTCAAACGACTGTAACACTGACAACTACTGTCATGCAGGCAGACAACACGTTGCTAAGGCCAGGCGTTTTAAACAAATGTAAACAAAACTATTTATATATTTTTTTATTTCATATCAGCAAAAAGGAACGCTGAAATGGTTTTTGTTTACTTTCTCATTATCAAGAGCTAAATCGGAAAGAAATATTTAGTGTGTTGTAGCGAATTTCTTAATCAAATAATTTTCTTTTTTTAATGTAATTAAATAATTAATATTTTTTACATTAAATCTGAAAACACCTAATATACATTATATTACATATATATGAAATATGTCGAGAATTTTCTGAAGAATCCAAAAATTTAATAATATACAGGGTGTTGGTACAAAGTTGGTATTGACAACTGTTACATGACACACCCTGTATAAAAAGTTTTTGTTGAAAAAAATGCGCAACTAAAAATACCAATCGATGTGTCCGAGCGTTTTTTCGGACACGCCCCCATTACTTTATTATTGAATTTATTCCATTTGGCTAATACACACTGTACATATACAGCAGGTCAAAAAAAAAATTAAGGCGTCATTCTACTATGAAGAACGATGGACAAAAGTCAATATCAACATTACTTCATTTGTATTTTGTAATTAATATCTTACATAACTTTTCTTTCTGTTAAGTGATTTGCACATAAATAGTCAATATGCTCAATGTTGAAAAATATATTGATTGTAAAATTCGTTCAGATGAAATAAATATACAGGGTGTCCGTTAAAGGATGGGTCAAACTTTACCGCTAGATTCTACGACGAAAATTAATGGAGAAAAGTCATATACAATGTTGCTCTTAAATGCTGAGTTTTCGAGATACAGGGTGTTGAAGTTGAAAAAATAAAAACGATTTTCGGGCATATCTCGGAGATACGTTAAGGGATTTTTTTCTAATTTGATATGAGGAGTATTAATCAGGACCTACATTATTTGCTGCGATTTCACGTCAATACCAAAAATCAGTGGTGAGCAAACTAAATTTTCGAGACTTTTTTCTAGAAAATAAATGTAAAAGCAGAAATAAATAACATTTTTAAAATTTTCATTGATTTTTCAGCTTAAAAGGTATGTACAGCGATATTCATCAAGCACAAAATTGCGCATATAAACGTACCCCTTAAGACAGTTATTCCAATGCATTTAAGATGATTTGACAGATTTTAGATGCTCGCTTTTTGTCGGGAAGGATGAATGTCATAGACTTTGAAAAAAGTAAGACAAAATATTAATTAAAAAAAAGTTAATATTGAATTTTCGTACAAGTGTCATAGAAACCTGCACCTATTAGTAGAATCACCCTCTAAATTTGTTGGTAATTTGGAACTACCCTAAATAATATTCTAAACATATCTACCTGCTGATATTCCTGATATGAGACGTCCTGCGTACAACCAGTTGATGTCCGTTGCTATTCCAATAAGGATCCACCCAATGATGAAAGGAATACTGCTTATTTGGATCGACCTTCGTCTACCGAAGTATTCTGCCAGCACGCCTGACAGAACCGAGCCCACTGGATTGGTGATCGCGCCCAGACTAGCTGGAAGAGAAAAAGGATATTTTAAGCACAGTACATATTTGAATATTCTCTTTCATTACTTTGAGTAAATTTTATTAAATTTTTCACAGTAATTGTTACGTAAGTATTGCAGGTAATTTTGTCAGTAAAGAAAAACACCAATGGTCAAATTTTTGCTGTGTGATTTCTATCAATGCACCCTGTATACGCTCCTTAAAATCTCATAGTAATGTAAAGAAGACGAAAGTAAAAGTAAAACTGTTACACTTCTGAGAAATAACCGTTACTTCAATGCCAAACGTAAAACACTTAAAAAAAGCACGCCAGCCGATAATTGCAGCTGTAAAAACCCATACATCGTTATTAATTTTTTATACATTTCGATATTTATTAACCGCAGCGCATTTAACATTACGGGCAGGTGTTACAAGTTGTTCTGGATAATTACTTCCGAATTTGTGTCAGTTCTAAATCGGAAACACAGCGATAAGAACTGGTACAAGGTGATTTTATTCTACATGTCTCTCGCTAAATTTCAAGGCTGCGTAAATGTCGCTCGGAAAAAAAAGCATTTCCTTATTTAGAGTCGTTGAACTTTCTAGCGGTGCGATTACTTGATTCTCGGACTTAATTGCGGCTCGAATATTTTCCAGAGTTTGAGGGGTCACTGTTAACCTCAGACAGTGGCGTGTAACCGCGGTGGGTCTCGGGTGGATGTTTTGACTGGCGTGTTTGTTGTTCCGATAAATTGTAGGAGTATGTAGTTATGTAACGCGTTCGTTGAAGGCTGGATCGCTAAAATATGTGTTCTGCTAATACTTAGAAAGAGAGGGAAGGATAGTCAATGTAGAAATCCGAGAAGTTGCAGAGATGGTACCTTATTGTGATATTACTGGCGCATTCGCCATTTTCTTCAAGAATAAAAGTGCAAAAAATGTATACAGGGTATTTCTAAAATAGGGTTCCAAACTTCTGCTGCGTTTATAACTCATTAAAATAAGCCAAAAAGTTCCTATTAACATGTGCCCTAAAACGCACCCTTAGGAAGTTATATGCCCTTAAAAGGGCTCAAACAAAACTGTTTTTTTTTCTGTTATTGACAAAACGGTCGCAAATAAATAAATTTATGGGTCTTACATAACTTTTTACGTTAAATTACATGGGTTACTCCGTTTTTCGACATGCAAATCATATGCGTCCCATTTAGGTTGGTGAAGGGGGTATTCGGCCCGTAATTTTTTTTAATTCAATTTTTTTACAATTTTCTCTACATATTTATAAAATCTTAACAATTTTACGTAAAAAATATTATCTTAGTCCAAATCGATATTTCCAATGGTTTTCGAGTAAACTGAGTTTGAAAATTACTCTGCTCTTTAAGTTATTAGGCTAAAAATTACAAAAATCTTTTTACCATGGCAAATAAAAGACTAACGTTGCCACAACGCTTAATAATGTAAGTTATTGATAAACTGTCAATTGAGCTTTGCAGTGTTTAATTAGTAAATGTGGTGAGTGGAAAATTTAAGTATACAACATTATTGCAACTCATAAGATGGAGTTATTTTCAAACACGGAAATGGCAGATATGCACTTTATGTACGGCCGTGCGGCTGGAAATGCATCAGAAGCGAGGCGTCTGTATGCGGCAGCATACCCGAATAGAAGACTTCCTTCTCGACAAGTATTTCAGAGGATCCATCAATGTTTAAGAGAAAATGGTTCGTTCCAACCAAGAGTAAATTATCGTGGCAGAGACAGATGTGTAAGAACACCTGTGATGGAAGAAAATGTATTGAGAGCTGTGCAGAACAATCCAAGCGTTAGTGTAAGAAGTGTCGCACGTATGCATAACATAAGGTTTTCCGTAGTTTGGCGAATTCTTTGCGAACAACTACTTCATCCTTTTCATATCCGCGTGTTCAAGCTTTAAATCCGAATGACTACGAACCACGTCGGCAGTTCTGCCAATGGTTTTTGCGAAAATGGAGGCGAATTCCGAATTTTGCATCTCTTATTTTGTTTACGGATGAGGCAAGCTTCAGTAAAGATGGTTATGTCAATTTTCATAACGCTTATGAATGGGCTGATGAAAACCCACACAGCATATTTCAGTTCAGACATCAGATTCGGTTTTCCGTCGACGTTTGGGCAGGCATTTTAGGCGATCGGCTAATCGGACCGTTTGTGTTGCCTAATCGATTGAATGGTGAGGATTATTACAATTTTTTAGTTAACGACTTACCAGGACTTTTTGAAGATGTCCCTTTAATTTAACGCCAAAGCCTATGGTTTATGCAGGACGGGGCGCCACCTCATTACCTACATAATGTAAGACAACACTTAAATGAGTTGTCCTGGCCTCCACGTTCCCCTGACCTTAACCCCCTGGACTATTTTTTGTGGGATCAACTTAAGGCAAAGGTTTATAAAATTCCAATTGAGACCATTCAGCAACTACGGGAGGAAATTGAAACCTCGTGCATGGAAATAAGGTAAACACCTAGAATTTTCCAAAGAGTTCGCAAAACATTGAAGCGTCGAGCTAGATTATGCATCGAAATGCAAGGTGGTCACTTCGAGCAGTTCTTGTAATTTAACTTATTATTACTAATTTTAATCCCATTATTTTCTATTTCACATTTAGCTATTGTCTGCAGTAGTAATTAGTTCTTTAATTAGTAACTGTAACTCTAAATTTAAATAGTCTTAAATAGTCTATGTCCTAAATTATTTAATAAATGATCGGATCCTTCATAACTGCAATTTATTTGAAAAAAACCAGTTTTGTTTGAGCCCTTTTAAGGGCATATAACTTCCTAAGGGTGCGTTTTAGGGCACGTGTTAATAGGAACTTTTTGGTTCATTTTAGAAACACTCTCTATTGTTAAACAACAAATTTAGAAAAGCAAAACTTTACTAAACGAATATAGCTTTTAAGTACGAGTAAGCGCAGCGAACGAGTAAATTAAAAGCTATATGAGTTTAGTCAAACTGCTTTTCTTACGAAATAAAGAAGCAGAAGAAGAAGCACAAAGAACTGATGAAAGTGTAATATATGTACAGGGTGGTCCCGAGGTAATGGGCCAAAATTCATGGGTAGATTCCCGAAGCAAAAATATTGGGATTTAGCTGAACTTACCTTAGTTATAGTTAATGAGATACAGGGTGTTAAATGTAAAATATTATTTTAGTTTATTTCCATTTATTTCTTAATAAATGCAAATATCTTCACAAAATTTTGGGGTTTGGGGTTCTTTGGATAGAGAAATTGAAATTTGTTCACATTTTGGTTATAGTTCATAGAGGGCGCCAGCTGCCGTAGATTGAAGGTGTTGGAAACGACATAACTTTTTTGTACTTTAAGGTATCTCATCTTTGGTATCAAATTCTTATTTTCCAACTTTTTTTACACAAAAAAGGTAGACTTTATGGAAGTAGCTGTCTCGCACTGTTTCCGAGATATTTGACTTTGAAACTTCCAATGCTAATAGTTGAAATAATTAAAATAATTTAGAAACGTCAAAAACAAGGGTTTATTTAGAATTAAAAATTGTAATGAACAGTAAAATAATAAACATTAGTAAAAAATATGCCTTTTTGACAATAATTACTCAAAATGTCCACCTCTAACTTCAATACATTTATCAACACGTTTATTAAAAGATTCTTCTTATTTTAAAGTATAAATCCTTAATGCGAAATGACTGCAGCATTTAAAACCTGCTACTAAAGTTCTTCTCAAGCGTTATAGTTTTTCCATAAACAACTGATTTCATGTAACTCCAAAAACGAAAATCTCGGCATTCTATCACATTTATGTATACGAGTATACAATTTAATTTGTAAACTAAGATGTAATTTTAATTAGATACGAATAATACTTAATAGAAATTAACATACAAATGACAGCAATAAGACGTCAATTATTTGATTTTCGTCCAAATCCTACTTAAGAAACTTTACCGCTAAATTAATAATACCTGTAGGTTCTTAATTGTAATTTAATGCAATAGCAATGGAAGTTTCAAAGCCAAATATCTCGAAAACGGTGCGAGATAGCTACTTTAATAAGTTATATATTTTTTGTGTAAAAAACGTTGAAAATTAAGAATTTGTTACCAAAGATGAGATACCTTAGAGTACAAAAAGTTATGTCGTTTTTGACACATTCAATCTACTGCAGCTAGCGCCCTCTATGAACTTTAACCAAAATGTGAACAGATTTCAGCTCCTCTACTCAAAGAACTCCAATCCCCAAAATTTTGTGAGGATATTTGCATTTGTTAAGGAATAAATTAAAAAAAAACTGAAATGATGTTTTATATTTAACTCCCTGTATCTCTTTAACTATTAACTTTTGAACTAAGGTGAGTTCTGCTAAATCGCAATATTTTTACTTGGGAAATCTACCCACGAATTTTGGCCCATTACCTCGGGACCACCCTGTATATATAATATTTTTCAGACGGTAAGCTATTTTTTATACATATTTTGGTATTTTTTCACACAATGTATTTTGTTATTTTAAGTAAAATCTCTTAAGGGATACAATTTATGGTCTACATATTCCATGTTGAAAAGTACTACAAATAGACGAAAATATGGATGTCACAATATAAGAAACTACTTGCCTTTTTAAAACGTCAAAATGACACATACGAAGTCTTGACTATGGAAAACGTTACTATATTTTTAAAAGAGACTCCAGACAATATTGTATTATACGAGTATTAGTTAGTTTTAGTTCACATATGCAGGCGTCTTAATTGTTGTTGTTAGTCCTGGTTGTGAATAACCGTGCAATTGTTATAACAAAAAATTGCTTGAAAACCGAAAGACAATACGATGGCAACGTTTCTTATTTACTGATATTTGTTAGCTACAAAATGTTAGTGATGGATGATTAGTAATAATAATAATAATACAATAGTGATCACCTTTAATAGTGTTTTCCAATGTTATATTATTTTTATCATATACTTATGTCTCTTGATTTTGTAACTTTAGTTAATGTAACC